AGAGAGAGAGAGAGAGAGAGAGAGAGAGAGAGAGAGAGAGAGAGAGAGAGAGAGAGAGAGAGAGAGAGAGAGAGAGAGAGAGAGACGGACAGACCGTCTGTCCGACCAACCAACTGACCAACGGACTGACCGAATAGCCGGCCAGATGGATAGACAGACTGAGCAATGAGGCCTCAGTCTTACGGCACAGTCTGAACAATATCCCGTGTGAGGTTGGACTAATCAAGTTGTAGATGCTGCTCTGAATGCTCAAAAATCTGATGTCCTATTCTTAACACTTGGTTGGACTCCACCACCTCATTCCTCTTCATCTTGGTTGTTGCCCATCCTCTACACCCTCTCTTACAATCCTTCGGCCACTTCGTCGTCTGCATCCTCCTCACCTGCAGCCTAGGTACAACCCCCTACAACTAGTCCTGCAGGTCACTCTGTTCTGAGGCCCCGCGTCACGCACGTCAGATGTAATCTTTGCTCCCCTCTCATGACTTGCCTGGTACCGCTGACACTCTGGAACTCCAGTCCTTGCACAGCTGCTGACTGGCATGCTTAATCAGAGTGCAAATGCATCATCACATCATCATATACCAATCCCATTCTCATCACATCCATCATTGCCAGCTCACAGAATTCTTCTGAACTGAGGGCATGCTAAGAAGCATGAACCTCAACACGTTGCCCGCCACGTTCAGGTTTCCTGAGCACTGACACAGAGCCAGAGGTCCCTGCTGCTAATACCAGACTGTGCAGACATCACTACCAAGCTGGGCGGACTCTTAACCATGATTCCTCCCTCCAATGGAGTTTTCACCACATTCGTTGAACATCGGATACATTCGCAAACCATGGCGGGTTAGCTTTCACCACACGGATTGGATACATTTGCCAACTAGCCTGGGTTAACTTTTTCCTTTTCTCTCCTCGTTTTTCTTTTTTTTCAATTTCTGGCATTTCTGCCTTTTTTCTTCTTTTTTTTTTTTCTCTTTCCCCCCCTCTTTTTCCCTCTTTTTTTCCTCTTTTCTGCTATATTTTTTTCTTTTCCCCCCCTTTTCTCTCTCTTTTTTTCCTCTTTTCAGAAAGGGCGACGGACTTGAGGTATAACCATCGGACTGATCGGCCCCAGGAAAATTCAGACTCATCTGATTACACAAATGAGATATAACCATCGGACTGAACAGCCCCAGGAAAGTTCAGAGTGATTTTACTCGTCCGATTACACATCTGGATTCAAACTCAGGTCAGTTTATCAACAGTCAATGGTTGGACCGTTCAACCACAGGGGGTAGGGATGGGTTAACTTTCACCACGCTGATTGGATACATTTGCTAACCAGCATCGAGGATCGGAATGGACTTCTGTTCATCGCATTCCTTGCAAGCGGGAGCTTGGCTCCCAGCGGTGCTATGTCTGTTCTAAGCTATAGCAGGAACGTTGCCATTTTGAAGACTAGGACGAATCCATAGCACAACCCATAGCACAAGTGGGGCTTGCCCCATTGCTCTGCTACTATTGTACCTGATCCTATCCAAGACAGGGGCGCAGCTTGGGGGGGGGAAGGTTGGACCTAGGCTACCAGCCGGGCTGCCCGGGTCACGTTGTTTTCCCATGGAAAAATCCGAAAAAAACTCTGTTATGCAGAAAAATAAACTGAACAACTTTTGCCTCTGGGTCCATCGAAATTCTTTACCAAATTTAAAATAAAACATAAAATTTATCCGATTTATATCGTCAAACATATATATTATATATTATATATTGTCACAGAACTATTGACTAAGAGCGTAGGCACGTGAATAAGATGAGCGAAGAAAAGGAAAATGAAAGGACAGACAGGCAAAGAGACAGACAAACTAGAATGACACAAAACAGTGTCCTGTTATTCTTTGGTTCACTGTATTCTTATTTCTTTCAGTGTTTTACAAAAAAAATTACACTGAACAAAGGATAAAAATAAAAAACAAAGACACATTGAAATCATTCAGTTTCTCAGTCTTCTTAACACCTCCTCCACCGTGCCTCTCACGTACAAGGCTCGCCACGTTGATGAAGTTGAGCACGAGCTACCACCGGCCGTATGCCATAACATCCCACTTGCACGCAATGTGAAAGAGGCAGAGTGAAGGAAGAGGTGTTAAACACAAGGAAGAGAGGAGCAGAAAAGGAAAACCGATAGGCAGAGGGAGAAAAAGTAAAAAAAGGCGACACAAACATCTTCTTCCTTTTACTGCATTCTTCTTTCTTTCACAGTTTCGCAGTTTTGGTGAAGAGTCTACCACGTTCGCTTTTCAGCCCACTTGCACTTCCTTCTTCATTTTTCATTCTCATTTTCACCCTTCGGACTTTTTCTTTGAGGGTGTTAGGGTGCAGGCTACAAACGAAGTAAAACGACGCAAACTTATGTTCTTCTTTTACTGCATTCTTCACTGTTTTGCAGTTTTAGTGAAGGGTTTCCCACCTTTGCACATTCTTGTACACTCTTTTCAGCGCACCTGCACATTTTTGTCAGGGTGCAAGGTATGTCTAAGTAAGACCCTCACGACAGATAGGACAACTGTCATAAGGATGCGGGCGATGGTAGCAGCCCTCCTGTGGCATACTGATACCACATGGGCCCCAGTTAGGGCCCGGTTCTGTAGCAGGCACGGTTCAGGCCTAGTTACCGGGTCACGACGGGCCCAGTTTAGGTCCAGGTAGGCCTAGGACCCGTCGGTTCAGTTTAGGGTCCGGTAGGCCTTGTTTAGACCCCGCCAGACCCAACGGCTAGTTGGTTAGACCAGGTACCAGGTCCATCGGTAGGACCGGCCAGCGCAGTTTTGGCGCCACTTTTCAGATTCCGAAATCAGATCTGAACCGTTGGGCCTGATCGACGGTCCAGACCCGAAGGCCCTCAGTAGGACTGAGGCCGACCCAGCACTATATCAGCTGGGCACCAGCCTCAGTCGGTAGGTTAGTAGACAGGAGGTTAGTCTTCAGGATTAGCGGTGCATTTCAGTGTTAGCAGCATTAGCGCAACGCTGCAGCGTTACCATGAGCAGCGAGGAGAGAAGGAGCTCAGCGGCAGAGAGGAATCAGCGCAGCATTGGGAGCAGCGCCAGCCACCGGCCCAGCCCACCGCCCAGCGCCAGTCCCTGTGGCGCCATAGCTACCGTACCAGGTACCACGGAGGAAGGCCTTGCCTTCTCTCCCTCTTCCTCCTCCGCCACTCTCTCTCTCTCTCTCTCTCTCTCTCTCTCTCTCTCTCTCTCTCTCTCTCTCTCTCTCTCCCCTCCTACCTTCTCAGTCTAAGTCTACGCCTGGGTTCTCCTACGGGACTACTACGAGTATGAAGGATGGTTACGAATTCTGATGACATTCGAGACAGTGACATTGGGACTGTAGGTTGAGGACTAATCTTGGGATCTGATTTCATCTTCCTCTGAAGATGTACTTGACATTGTGAGATCGATATCTGAGACATTGTAAGACACTGTGTTCGCGACATTTCGGATTTTCGCTACCTCTGACATTTCAAGATACTATCTTTGGAAATATTGAGTTGACGTCATCTTCCCTCTCCTCCTCCCTTCGTGTCTCTTCTCCCTCCATTTGTCCGTGTATGATCTCAGACCCTGGTCTTTCGTCTATGCCCAAGGCCAGGGCTTTCACACCACTGATGCATGATTGAGAGTGTTCGATTGCAGTCCGAGTCGGGTCAGAGTCAGTCCATGGGTATCTACTCTTCCGCTGTATTTGCATCAACTCTGTATTATCTGGTCGGTTCTGGGAATCTGCGCCATACTTATGACTGTGTTTCACGAGTATGCAACACTTCCCGCTGATCTACAGGACGAAAACCATTCAGGTAAGCAACTTTGTCACAGCAGGAGCCAGGGCGGCTAGCATCAACCATACCTCTGAAGCATGCACGGCAGAGGGCATGCCGGTTGCAGGCCATGATGATTGTGGGGCGTTCACCATCACAGTTAAGTGCACATTCGCTATAGCGCCCACAGGCACAGATGGGACATACTGCATCTGGATTCAGAAAGATGCAGAAAGATGCAGAAAGATGCAGAAAGATGCAGAAAGACATAGAAACGGGCATGGAGTATATCGTCAAACAGAGCTGCCCACTTATCAGGAGGGTGAACCCTATATTTTGGGGCCAGCCGGGCAAGTGGTCCTGGGCCACTCTGGTAGCCTAGGGTTGCAGCCGTTATGGTGACTCAACTTACTCAAGGCCCTTCACCCTCAGATTCAGCTTATCGTTTTTACAAATAAACTCACCCAATCAATTGAAAATTTGAAATATATTATTAATTTACTACACATCACACACTTTTTTATTTCCGGAATTAGGAAAAAAAGAATGTTCGGCCCATGATGTACACAAACATTGCATCCGCGCAGTTTGCACAGCTTGGCCCTCCACGTTGGCCAGTAAGAGTGTGAAAAGCCACATTCAGGAACCTGGTCCTAAAGACGGTGGCATTCAGTGTATCTCACCTGCTGCGACTTCATGACCGGATTGTGGTAGATCAGGAAGTAGACAAGAATGATCCCAGCCGTTGACGAACACCATCTAGGGTCCAGCCGAGGCGAAACATCCCCGGTCCCAGCCCCTTGGACCCCACCTCCAGTACCAAATCCGGCAGTCATTGCGGTGATGCCCGTGGCATTCATCAGGCCTCCAAACCCCGTGGTGCCCATTTCCGCAGCCGCCGTCATCCACGATGACACATAGTCCCAGAGGCCCCCCACACCAGAGCTCACACTTGTCGTTTTCGCATGGCCAGGAAGTGTGAACACGCCGGCGCCCCTTTGATGACCTAACAAAGAGTTCACGGTATGCAGGAGCGCAGGCAGAGGAGCAACAGGGCTTGCTATTTGGGCCGTGTACGCATTTTCGCTTTCGCGCCAGAGAAGGAGCAGCAAAAGCACGAGAGTCCCGTCGAGCTCCAACCGGTGCGCATCGTCAAGGATCTTCGACGTCAAGACAGAAGTGATCGCATCAAAGATAACGTTGACAAAGAAGTAGCTGGCTATGGAGTTGCTGTTCACATTATCCGTTGCGGTAAGAATCACCAAATACAGCCTGCAAGATAATACATGAAATGAAATCAAATCGAATCAGATGAAATGAGAAATCAAACGAAATCCTGGATCAGGGAGAATGCCAAAACTGATCAGATGAAATGAGAAATCAAACGAAATCCTAATTCTTGGAGAATGCCAAAACCGGACAGAGGACTACAACAAAAGGTGTTTTTCTTTTCAGCTTTTTTTAGGAAAGGGTGCTGCTGCTGAGGTAGACAGAGCAAGCTGATTGCAATCAAACACACATGATTCAAGTTCATTCAACGGTGATTTTACGATCATTTAAGTACTAGAAAACCACTACCAGTATCTCCAGACCAGACAATCTGCCAGTTGAAAAGCAAGCCGCAGGTATCAGCAAATTTTGTGGAGGCACAAACACACAAAGTTTCAACACTGATTTTGATACCATTTTAGATTTCAGACCGATCTGTTGGTCAACAAGCAAGCCCCGGTACCAGCAAATTTTGTGGAGGCCCACCCGGTAAGTTATCTTGTGGGCCCTCCTCAATGGAACGCTCTGGCACCCATAGCTTCTTGTTAATCGGTTGATCAGGATCATCAGGAGGTGAGATGGTCGTGGTTTTGGTTTAAACTTTAGTTCACGCAAGCCAAAGTTGTGTTGCCTTTGCCGGTATACGCGGTAAGGCTGTTCCGCTTCAGACCTGGGCCAGCAGCAAAAGCAGCGGGCCACTTCGAAAAGGCGCAGTTGCAGGCTCGCAAGCCTTTTTGGAAGGTACCTTCGTCAACTTAGGCTCATGTGAGCTGGTGGTTTGATGTGGAATCATTGTTGACATCTATGAGATCGGGAAAGAAAAAAAAAGAAGAAACAGAACAAAAAAGCAAGTTGAATGTCGCATGCCCAATGGCGCAGACCAGAACCAGGAACCGATCTCTCAAACTGAAATACGAATAATCAAGCCCAATCAATGTCGTGACACAGACTGAACATCATCATCATCATACTGTGTGAGTGGCCTGGCGCCAGAACACAAGAAGGAAGGCGCCAGCCACAATCCATGCACGAACGAGGAGGAGGAAGGAAAGACGAGGAGGGGGAAGAAGAGAGGAGATGTCGTCAACCCAAAATGTCGTCGATACCGATCCCAGAATAGTCCCCCACAATTCCACTGACCAAATGTCAAGTCTGAATCTCAATGTGGTCAAGTCCCTAGGTCGAAAATCTCTCTCTCTCTCTCTCTCTCTCTCTCTCTCTCTCTCTCTCTCTCTCTCTCTTACCAAGTACTGACCTGTGCAAGATGTCGTCTTGATGCAAGTACGGACGAGCTGAAGACAAAGCTGGAGCGATGGAGTCGACAGGTAAGTCCTCAGGTAAGCCCCCTGGCCTCCGCCATAACCCAGTCTAACTGCAGCTGCGCTGTGCTCAGGCTGAAGCCCTATCTCCCTACAGCTATCGTCGACTACAGCCACTGCTACAAAGACCTCCACCAATGCATGTCGAATGCCTGGGCGGACCAGCTATATATAGTGCTGGTCCGGCCTTGAATCAGGGCCGTCAGATCTAACCTGCGATCAGCGGCCCAAATGAACTGGCGCCCAAGGACTAAACTGGAGGCCTAAAACGTCCTACACCTAACCTGGTCTGGTGCCCAAAACGAAATGGCGTCCAGACCGTACCAGGGTCTGGCGCAAAACTGCGCCAGGGCCTAACCTGCTGGCACCGCCTGCTCAAATGATACAGACCCTAGAACAGACCCAAGTACTGACCCTGAGCCTCCGAGAACCCCTCGTCCGACTGGTCGGGCCCTGTAGGGCCCCGTGTGGGATCTGAGTATGCCACATTGAATCAGTGTTGATCACGTCAAGGTATTACAGAGCAAATTTGAGCAAAGCTCAGCAAAATGCATTATTATTACTAATGTTGATTATATGTCGCATATGATTGCATGTTTCAAACTGCTTTGGAATTCCGTCCAGTCACCCACATCTAACGTTCTTCTATCAGATGCATGTCGGACGTCCCAGGGAAGAGATGCTGTAGAGGTCAGATGACACCTGATGGCCAGTAGTTTTTCTTGCTGTAACAGTCACATCGTCCGCCATGTAAAGTTTTGTTGTTTGGCATAAATTGAGGACAGAGGAGGAGGAGGAGGAGGAGGAGGAGGAGATATACGAGCTAGGGCAATAAATAATAGGGTCACGCAAGAGAAAGGAAAAGATTTCAAAGACTTTGCACCTTGCAGGAAAGGTCATTACACCATGAAATAAAGAAACATGCGCCCTCCAGGCATTCATCAAGAAAAAAAAAGGGCAGCGCCTCCCTGGTGTCCCACCTTGTATTTAGGGTTTCCTCCTCTGAGTAGGACAGAAAAAAGCACAAAAGAGAAACAAAAGGCCCACTGGTTTGCAACTGGTACAGATGTCTCACAGAGAGAGAGAGAGAGAGAGAGAGAGAGAGAGAGAGAGAGAGAGAGAGAGAGAGAGAGAGAGAGAGAGAGAGA